AAGTAAAGCCTGTTTTTCTGTATTTAAATACACACCTCACGCACGTTGAAGAACAAACCACACTAGAGTCTAGGGTTTCTTGTTTAGAATCCATAGCAGACCCCATGCTTGGAACTTTGGGAATTCCTAAATCTACCCAGGAGCAAAAAAATGGGTACCTAACTTCGATTAGACCTCCTCTTGGATAGAAAGTAAAGCCTGGTTTTTTGTGTTTAAAAACGATTACTTTCCTGCAACAACGCAACAATCAGTCGCTTAATAAGTTCCGATGCCTTTTACAGGAATTCATTCTTCTGGAAGACCTACAATTTATTATGCTTTTAGGTTTCTTCCTGTTTTATTTGTATGTCTGTAGAGTTTTTGTATTATTTTAATGATGTTCTGTAAATGTGTTATATGGGTTTTTACCTGAAATAAAGAAAGAATGAATGAATGAATGAATGAATGAATGAATGAATGAATAAAATACACACCTCAAGCACGTTTGAGAACCAACCACACTTTTCAAAAAGAGCAGAGGTCCTCCCCACGGTAAGAGTGGATCAAACCGGTCTTGTCAAGCAGGGGCTTACTGTACAGAAGTGGCGAGATCCGCCTTGGGCCGGTTTACGGGTTATGCGGAACAAACAGACAAAATCCGGAAAATTCCTACTCGTAAACGTAAACGCCGGATGCGTTTATGCCATAAGTAAATATCGAAAGCAAATATGTATAGGCTAAATGTCACCATTAGCAGTACTGTTGCTATGCACCATTAACGGTATCCAAGGCAAGATGATACCATGGAAATCCCTAACCTTCTGAATGAGTGTTTCATAACATGTTTGTTGAATATACATGTACCACTTAACCTAACTGTCGTACAGTTAGGGAGATTAACAGCAGGATAAATCCCTTCGTGTGTGAGATGAGGCTTGTCCTAGATCCGTCAATTTGTGACTGGATTTCAGTACACACTTTTAGACTAGAGGTTCACTGTGTGTGTACAATCATGCCTGTACATCTCAACTCCACAGCGGATTTGGTTCCGTTTTACTATTTTTCATTATTTGTTTCAAGTGAGTATAAACTCACCTGAAGCACCTTTTATGAACTAAGTCTTATGTTTAAAAACAGAGTCAGTGTTTCACACTATGTACACATGTAATCAGAAAGTTTGACAGCACACATAAGAAATTTTCCGTGCGTCGAAGGAATTCAATGGCGATCTTAAGTCACTGTGTGTTGACTAAGAGTTCTAGAAGGTATTGCATCTTGGCTTTACTAACTCAGAGACAGGCTAAAGCTAGGGCATAGGCAACCTTTAGTAAACATGGATAGATTCAGTGTCGTCCTTATCATCTATATGTTGCTATTCACCAGTAACGGTATCCAAGGTAAGATGATAGCATTGAAATCCCTGACCTTTTGAATGTGTGTTGAATATACCACTTAAGTACAATTGATAAGCTAAAAAGATTGATAAATCCCTTCGTGTGTGAGATGAGGCTTGTCCTAGATCAGTCAATTTGTGACTGGATTTCAGTACACACTTTTAGACTAGAGGTTCACTGTGTGTGTACAATCATGCCTGTACATCTCAACTCCACAGCGGATTTGGTTCCGTTTTACTATTTTTCATTATTTGTTTCAAGTGAGTATAAACTCACCTGAAGCACCTTTTATGAACTAAGTCTTATGTTTAAAAACAGAGTCAGTGTTTCACACTATGTACACATGTAATCAGAAAGTTTGACAGCACACATAAGAAATTTTCCGTGCGTCGAAGGAATTCAATGGCGATCTTAAGTCACTGTGTGTTGACTAAGAGTTCTAGAAGGTATTGCATCTTGGCTTTACTAACTCAGAGACAGGCTAAAGCTAGGCCATAGGTAGCCTTTAGTAACACGGGTAGATTCAGTGTAGTCCTTATCATTTATATGTTGCTATTCACCAGTAACGGTATCCAAGGTAAGATGATAGCATTGAAATCTCTAACCTTTTGAATGTGTACATGTGTTGAATATACCACTTAACTTAAGTACAATTAATGAGCTAAAAAGCATGATAAATCCCTTCGTGTGTGAGATGAGGCTTGTCCCAGATCCGTCATTTTTTTAGAAGAAAACCATCACCTAGTGACTGGATTTCAGTGCTACACTTTTCGAGGTTCGCTGTGTGTTCATACATGTACATCTCAACTGGAGCAATCCACCGCGGCTGTGGTTCAGTTTCACTATTTTTTTATTATCTGTTTTAAGGGAGTATAAACTCACCTGAAGCACCTTTTATGAACTAAGTCTTATGTTTAAAAACAGAGTCAGTGTTTCACACTATGTACACATGTAATCAGAAAGTTTGACAGCACACATAAAAATTTTTCCGTGCGTTGAAGGAATTCAATGGCGATCATAAGTCACTGTGTGTTGACTAAGAGTTCTAGAAGGTATTGCATCTTGGCTTTACTAACTCAGAGACAGGCTAAAGCTAGGCCATAGGTAGCCTTTAGTAACACGGGTAGATTCAGTGTCGTCCTTATCATTTATATGTTGCTATCCACCAGTAACGGTATCCAATGTAAGATGATAGCATTGAAATCCCTGACCTTTTGAATGTGTGTTGAATATACCACTTAAGTACAATTGATAAGCTAAAAAGATTGATAAATCCCTTCGTGTGTGAGATGAGGCTTGTCCTAGATCAGTCATTTTTTTTAGAAGAAAACCATCACCTAGTGACTGGATTTCAGTACTACACTTTTCGAGGTTCGCTGTGTGTGTAGAATCATGTACAACTTAACTGAAGCAATCCACGGCTTTGGTCCAGTTTACTATTTTTCATTATCTGTTTCAAGGAAGTATAAACTCACCTGAACCACCTTTTATAAACTAAGTCTTATGTTAAAAAAACAGAGTCAGTGTTTCACACTATGTACACATGTAATCAGAAAGCTTGACATCACACACGCAGGAACCTCGCCCTTCGTCGAAGGAATTCAATGGCAATCTTAAATCACTGAGTGTTGACTTAAGAGTTCTAGAAGGTATTGCATCTTGACTTTACTAACTCAGAGACAGGCTAAAGCTAGGCCATAGGTAGCCTTTAGTAACACGGGTAGATTCAGTGTCGTCCTTATAATTTATATGTTGCTATCCACCAGTAACGGTATCCAAGGTAAGATGATAGCATTGAAATCCCTGACCTTTTGAATGTACCACTTAACTTAAGTACAATTGATGAGCTAAAAATATTGATAAATCCCTTCGTGTGTGAGATGAGGCTTGTCCCAGATCCGTCATTTTTTTAGAAAAACCATCACCTAGTGACTGGATTTCAATACTACACTTTTAGAGGTTCGCTGTGTGTGTAGAATCATGTACAACTTAACTCAAACACGAAGAGATGGCCGCAAAAGTGCTTCTCTGGCAACCGGATGTAAAAAGAAGGAGGGGACAACCGAGTCACGTGGAGAGACATTGTGAATGGCACCTCGAAAGAGGATGACCTGAACTGAACTGAACTGAAACACTCCACAGCGGCCTTGGTTCAGTTTTACTATTTTTTATTATCTGTTTCAAGGTAGTATAAAATAACGCGAATCACCTTTTTTTGATAGGCTAAGTCTTATGTTTAAGAATAGGGGGGGCAGAAGGCATTCAAAGGATATCGAAAGTCAAGTTTAGTGACTTAAGAGTTCTAAAAGGTATTGGCTCTAGGCTTTACCACCTGAGCGACAGGCTAACACCAGGCAGCTCCAACTATAAAAGTGTAATAACCCGATACGCAGGTTCAGACTCATGTTAAGACATACCTTTAGTCATGACTTACAGGCAAATGTCACTGTTGGCATTGTAAACGCTATACATGCTTTGATGGTAAAATGTGCCTATTTTTATTTTATACTTTGGACTTTATTGGCAAAGGTCCAGGGAGAATTTGATATATTTGTCGAGGGACGCAAACCCTTTTCCAAAAGCCTTTCACTGTATTCTAAACTTAGTAGTAAATTGATAACATGTATATAATTTTAGGTGGTATTTACAGATGGGGTGTGCGACTGTAAGGCTTTAGCTCATGTAGGCGACACGAACGTACATTTCTGGGAAAGCGTGATATAAACTGTCAAATATGTACCACGCACCAGGCGGTCTTGTGGTTAGGGGTTGATGACTACTCTCCAAGCAGAGTTTCGTGGAAAAGATGTGAGTTTTTTTCTCCATAGGTTCTAGCCTCTTGCAGGCATTCCAGGTGCAGTCGCGTTTATTTTTGTGGGAGGGGGAGGGGCTCTTCCCCAATCTGCACTATTTTCTGATTGGCCAAGTTTTCTGATCTCGCTCGCTTATTTGGTCGCCTTCCATGGAATCTTGGCCAATTAGAAAATAGGGCAAACTAGAAAGGTAACACTTGCAAAGCAAATGCATAATATTTACCTTCACATGGTCTAGTCCAACACACGACTGCTCCGTTTATTCTTCCTCAAACGCATGCCTATTCATTCACATGGCGACATGCCCCTCCAACTCAGCCCTGCTAAAACATGTAACCCAACACCAAAGGGTGTCTGCTACAGCACCAGTTACCATGGTGACAGACGTCCGGTCCAGGTCATTGACGTTATCATTTGGAGATGAATGAGCAAAAACCACATGTTGTCCTTCTGTGAAGGTAAACATACTAAAAAAGGGAGGGCAAATAAGCGCCAACTCCACCCCAAAAACCGCACCTTAACACCTTGCTAGTTGGGCAAACGCCTGGCCTTTTGTACAGGCCTCCGGGCAAGTGGGAGTTTTGATGCTGCGTTTTATAAAATTTTTAACATGTTTTTTGCCGGCCATCTTACAACCAGCCGCTCAGAGAGGGTTTGGTTGTAGGATGGCTGGCAATAGAACGCGTTAAAAATTCTTCATAACGCAGCATCAAAACTCCAACCCGCCCGGAGGCCTGCACAGGAGGCTAGCAACCACCAGCCAAATAAATAAATATCTAAAGTTGTCTTTGTTTATGTCACCTTTTCTACCCAGGAGCAGTCTCGGGTGACCTTGTTGAGACAGCCCTTACCTTCGGTGTTGCTGAAACGACACGTCATCATGTCTCGGCCTGTTCTCCTCGCCCTGGTCCTCCTCACCGTTGCCGTGACGACCATGCTGGTGGCGGGAAACAACATCTGTCGTCTGGCGACGTACACCAAAGAGTTGAGACTGCACGGCAGGGTGCAATACGTGCAGGCCGGGGAGTGTATCGTGCGAACCAACTACCACATACAGTGGGTCCATTTTTTGTATATATATCAGGCCATGTTGATTTGATTATATGGATGACATCCGAGAGAATGAATTTTCGAGAATGCCAAGATTTCTTCCCAAAGGAAAATTGTGAAGAAATGCAAATGAATGACACCCCCCCCCCACACACACATGAATCGTCCTTTTCCAGAAAAAAGGTTTTCCACCATACTGTAAATCGTGCATAGTAGCTACAATATGGGAAAATATATGCCTTAAAATTTCGAAAAAAATATTCGAAAATGATAGTGATGTCATAGAATGTCAACGTCAAAATGTAAAGAAATGGAAATGAAGTTTATTATTTGCCATACCATACTCTGTGTGTTAAGCCATATGTTTAAACTTCGTAACAGCGAAGATTTCATAATGGAGGCACCTTTTTTTGTTCGCACGCTCACATCAGGTTTGGGTTCATATAGTCAAATAGATGTGGCCTTATGGTAAATGTAGTTTCCTAGCCTTTTCAGACAGTAGGGGTAGTAGGTTGTTCATCCACCGTGTCTAGTACACGGTACCGGAATTCGAAGGCTGAGCCCATCCCTGTATGACATCCTTCCACTGCCTTTACCTTCCCAACCAAAGCCAGGCTCCTATTCTACACTTGAACGGACTGAGAAAAGACGTATGAAGTACCTTTTCTATGAACACAATGACTAGCCAGGAATCGGACCAGTAACCTCTCGATCTCGTGTACGCTTGCCGCGCCACTAGATGTCAGGCAACAACTAGTCCCAACCAAACTTGTAGGTTCCGAACGGTCTGTAGGTAATAGAGACAAAGGCGATCACTTGAATACTTCAGCAGTTACTAAAACGTGGGTTTTGAAATATAGCCTTAAAAGGTTTGTAAAGTTGCAGTTTAATGCCCCTTCTGATGGCCTTGAAGCCGCTTGGGTTCTCATTAAGCGGAAGTTGTTGAAAACCTTCAATCAGCGTTGGTGGACAGAAAAAAAAAGAAAATTGCTTCTTTTAGAGATGTATGGTTACTGAGAAACATCTTAAAGTTGTACAATTCCCTTGAGTTACATTTTAAGGACTGACTGTTTTTAGAGAAATCGTTGTGTTTTGATCATCAAGTACTCTGCGCCTCCGCAGGTATACACTTGGGTGTGATACAATCATCTCCCACAACTCCATATTTATTTCCAACACTTTAATGACATCCTCTGACAATACCGCTAATGTGCTGTAACTTGATGAACTAGACCGTGGCAGGAGGGAGGGGGTGGATAAAGAGCAGTTTGAATACCATGACAGGTATTTTCAAAAGGCAACAATGACAAGGAGATGAAACACCAATGAAGCAGTGTAATGGGAAAGTGGGTATGGTGTTCGCCTTGCCTTCTATAGGTCGTGAGTTCGACCCCCGGCCAAGACTGCTTTCTCTACTTAGCACTCAGCATTTGGGAAAGAGTATGAGAGTTAAAAACACACTACAACCAGTAGTAATGCCATTGAATACCTCATAATCAATTGTTCTACGCCTTCCTACAAACGATATACAAAGGCAGCGAATTTAAAAAAGGTAACAACTATTCAATGAATTTACACTCTTTCAGAAACCGCGAACATACACCTACGAGGCCTTTGTGCAACATGATCGATTTAGTGTTCACGTCCCTTGAACCTTATTTCACAAAACATGGATATAAAAAGCGAAAGATGAAAGATTTTCTAATATTACATGCTTTGTGGACACTAGCATCAAAACATCGACCTATAATTAATTGGAAACAGAACCTCTAGGTATTCAGCACCAAGGACGTTGTTGATAACGTTGGCTCAAATCACTCACTCACTCAAGGCCGCATGCTTCCTCTGGGAGAGTAGCTCCTTGGCAGATGGATGTCCAACTAGATTCGTCCCTGGCTGCCTCCCAACCGGTGTTGAGGTGAAGGCCAGAAGGTGACGACCAATTGGTCACACCAGGTGCGTCGTGTTCGTCCTCTAGGACGGGACCATGTGGTGGGGGTAGTTCTCTCAGCAGAACAGCTGATTCCAGTGGAGGCTCCGCCAATGCATTGCGGCCTAAGAGCCGGCGCCGGACTGACTGTATCTTGGTGGTCAAATGAGGCTGTTTGGTGATGTCTCGTAGGGTGGAGTTGGCTAACATGATGATGAAAATATGGTCTTCATATATGGAATAATCGTTTTTCCTTCATTCAAAATCTCCTTGATTGAGAAAACATGTCGATTGTTAAAAGTTTAACTGTTTTTTTTTAACCATTCTTTATTCATGAGTAGCTAAAACCGACCTGCAGGCCGCTTTCCACTACTCTCCAAGCAGAGGTTGTGGGGGAATGATCGTTACATTTTTATAGATGGCCGTTTTTTTGTCCTGATCCCGTCGGTGGCTGTGGACCTTCTCTGGCTAATGGATACTGTCTGGCTAATTTGATACTGTCTTTTTACCACCGAGAGGGATCTGCTTGGAGATTAGCTTTCTACTGAGGTCATGAGGGAAGAATTAATAATAAGTAATATGTAAAAAAGATCAAGTTAACATAATGTAAAGTCCAGGTAAATCCATGCACATATTTTACATAACATGGTACACAAGCACGGTGCTGTTTTGTAAAGGTATGCTACTACTTCTGTGACAAATATAGCAAACACTTTGTCGTTTTGAAAAACAGCTATGATTCCTGGAAATTTGCAAGGACAGTCATTTTATCCTCTCCATTCAGGGCAAGTGGCGAAGAAAAAAAAATTGTATATCTCTTAACAAGGACATACACCTGTCGACATTTGATAAATAAATCACTTATCTCTAGCTGATGTCAATTCAGTCTTTCCCCAGCCTGCCCTTTTCAAAGTCGGACTACCGACTCAGCCTGGGAGGCCTTGTTTGAAGGTCAATCGTGAAGGTGAAAGGTTATTAAGAAAAAAACATCAAACATTTCAAACCTTACAAATCCTATTAGCTTGTTTGTCTCCTTATTCTCAAAGCCTTTTAAAATCAAAGCATTGAGATGAAAAGCAACAGTAAGTAGTTATCTTGTGTCCTTTCAATTTCAATTTGCAAGGGCTTCTTCGTGAGTGTTTGGGAAAGGATTTTAAAATAAAGAAGAAGAAAAGGTTAAACGAACCTTGACTTAGAAAAGTTGCGTCATTTTCTCGAATTCTGCGAAATATGGCTGTTCCATTTCACGACGTGGGGGCTAAAAAATATCAACTGTAAACATAACAAATACAAGATATGACATGATGATACTTATGCTAATGAATATAAACACCTTGTAAATTTTTCTAATAAAAACAAACTGCCATTTCCTCAGACAGGCTACCGATTTCTTAATAATAGTTTTTTTTGGAATTTTTTTGAGTCTTCAATTTTTCATTTTCCTTTTATATTTCTTTTAATATTACCACACATTATTTGTTAAGTGGTGTCTTGCGATACGCTGGTGCCCCGAATTATCGAGATATTTTACTTTTGCGTCTTTTTTATGATACGAAAGTATTGTTTTGGGTTGCCGAGTTGTAGGTTTGTCTCTCTGCATTGGTTGCATGGTGGGTGGGAGATGATTTTGACAGCTGATCAGTAAGGAGAACACCCTGAATTAAAAGATGACCCTGCACGTGCATGCGGAAAAAATCATTTATATACCTTGCTGCTTTGTTACATGTGTAACTTGTTACATGATCTCCTCGACAGCCATTACCCTTGCGCAATAGATTGGAGATTTCATGAACCAATCAGGTAGTTCATTTAGTAGTAGAAACGAGTCTTTTCTTCAAGAGAGATTTTGTATACCCCCTAGAAAGTTAGTGACTTGTAGACTCAATATTTTATGTTCGGAATTTTTTTCTTCCTCCTTTTTAAAGCAGTTCTTACATAGTGTGCCTTGCTCTTATGTGACATGAACATCTGGTAACAGGGGGTTAGAAGTCCTGGATATTCACATCAATGTTCTCTCTCTTTTTACAGGCCCAAGTTCCTCAATTATGACGAAGGCGTCGAGGAAGCAGACTTCTACCTCAACAGCTTTAACATCACCCACCGGGAGTGCTGCTGCAGAGTCGGCGTGTACGTCCTGAAGAACGTGCGGATCGGATCAACGCGCATCAAGTACAAGGACATAGAGAGCTGCGTCTGTCAGGCCTGCTGATTCTACCACTTAACTTTCTGAGATATTAAAATCTCCGGGCAGATGTACGGCTTTACCTTGGGTTTTATTTGGCACGTTGTCGTGTTTCGTACGCCTTTTAACCGGACTGTTTTGTCCGTGGGGGCGAGACGAACAGACGAAAACATCGGCTGCAGAAAAGACGTACAGGATAAGCTATGTTTAAAACCTAAGTTGAAGCCGTAGATCTGTTCAGAGATAAGTTCCCAGACACAAAGAACGTCAAGCCTCATGATGGAGTCGACAAAGGCCTTTTCCATACAGTTAACGTTTTGACATTCTAGCGAACAGTGTTAACAGTTTACCCTTTTGAAATTGACTACGATTACCCGGTATTTTGTTCCCTCGATATGTGATATCCCAATACATACTCACATAGACCTTTTCACAGATCCCTTGGCATGCTGGGAAAACCGAGGAATTATGGGTAATGTATGAATCAAACAGCACAGACCAGATTGCACACATTACGCATGCGCCGCCGACGTGTTGTCTTGGTAACGATATTACCCACAGTTCACTGTTTTCCCAGCATGCAATGTAATCCGGACAAACGCTATACGTTTTCTGTCATGGAATGGGCCTCTGGATGTCGTCGCTGAATCGGCTTTTTGACGACAGAATGGGAAAGAAAACAAATTCAGCCAGCCAGGATATATCAACAGGAAATATCATCATACTCGAGTTAATCAGAAGATTGAATTTATACCTCAGCCTGCTAAACCATTACAGGATTGCAATCTTATCATTTTTAATAAATTTCATATCACCTTTCAATAATGTCTCAATTAACGTACGCACTGCATGCCTTTAAGTTGACGGTAATAGAACTGTCACGTCATACCACTGTACATTTAAATTTAGATACATATTCCTAGAATACTGACGATATGAACCCTCGTTACTGATTATGCGATCAAACTAAAAAAGGAAAACAATTTAGCAAGATATCAAGATGCCAAACATCCGGGAGGTATGTAATGTATAATGTTCACAATGACTGCTGAGAATTTCAGACATCACATCAACAACAATTTTTTTTAGTAATGCTAAACATAACTTAAAATAGGTGCTATCACAAGTATGGTATATTATTCAGGCTTAACCCCCTAAAAGATGGGTAGTATAACCCATTAGTCCTAAATGGCTCTACTCCTACAGTGGACAACAGCTGTTGATAGACGACACCACATCACTTACACGGGGGTGTAAAATATTTCATTTCAAAACATGAAAAATACAAAGAGAATACGCATCATTCGGACCTCAATAACTAACAATAAACCAAAAATCGAAGAAATTTGGCAAACCACTGTGAGGTATGTTGCCGCGAACACACAAAGATGACCAAAACAATACCTTCCCGCGGAAGGATTTCTCCTTCTCCAGTGGTAAAACAATTACAATAGCTCGAGATATTCATTTAAAAGTTAATGTCATTGTAGTATGTACCCCTTGCCTCATACAAATACTCACTGGTTTTTCACACAAAACAACTAGTACCATAATTTCCATATTTATTTCACAAATATGTGCAAAACTTATATATAAAGTTACGAAATTGCAGCACACCTTCTGTGCCTTTATCATAAATGATAATTACTCATGTATATAAGGTTACATTCTGCTGATTATTGATACTTCAGAGAGTTTATCTTTATTTATTTTGCATAACATACAGGTACTACAGTTTAACCTCAGTTTCTATTGCCTGCAGGGTAATGTAACTCAATTAAAGCCACTGGATGCAGGCACTCCTAGTGGCATATTTTGGAACAGGTATTGCAATGCTACA